GCTGGCTTTGATCTACAAGCAATTGAGCGCTCACATGTGAGCAGCCACAATTTAAAAGATCAGGATTTTGGATGTTTAGTGTTGTCACAGGGAAACGCAACAAAATGCTCAGGTTTGAATGGCTAATGATCATAAAACCCCCTTCCTTTTTAACACAACCCTTAACATGTGTATCGTTCCCTATGACTTTACCACGTATGGTCAGCGGTAGAGGAAAATTTCAAATTTGCATGCATGTGCTGCTCCTCTTACCGGCAGCCCGAAGTGCTGCCAACAGGATACTTTGCAGTCCCCCGGCCTGCTTCTGGGACATCAGATCAGCAGATTACATGCTATGGCCAGCCCCGAGCCACCTGCTGCTTCTCCTCCACCTCCTGTACAAAGCCAGCCGGATCGCATTTCACTGGGCCCTCCACCGGGCAGCTCTATAATTAGGCAGCCACTCTTAGGGCTTTTCGGCCGCCTAGTTTAACACATTAGGCAGCTGCTGCTGCCTGATTATGTGCCGCCCAGCCTCACCCCACCAGGCAAGTGCCCAGTATGCCCAAAGGCAAGTCCGGCCCTGTCCGCCTCATTGATTTGGGGTGGCGTCTTTTGCCGCCCTCCTGGAAAGTGCTGCTCTAGGCAAATGCCTAGTTTGCCTTGCGGTAGATACACCCCTGCTTGGAAGCATATGACTACGGCATAAGATCAGTATATTTGGGAGGGTGAAGTTCCTCTTTATGAAGCATTTTTATTATTGCACAGTGGTGCAGTACAGGGCAGTTCACCTCCCACCGCATGAGATCCCATAGCAAATAATGGGGGGAATGTATCAAAACTGGAGCAGAAACAATCTGGAGCAGTTGCCCATAGTAACCAATCAGCTTTTTTGTTCAGTTAGTTCAGTTAAGCTTTGAAAATGAAAGAGAAAAGCTGATTGGTTAATATGGTAAACTGCCTCAGATTGTGTCTGCTCCAGTTTTAATACATTCCCCCATGTGTGTGCACCGCCGAGCAGTGTGAAGGTGCGCTGCAATGTGTTTTTATAATGTACAGGCCACAAAGAAAAGAAAGAAGTGGCCCCATGGGTTTGTCACCTCTGGCGGGTCTGGGAAGATATCTGCCCTTCTCTGAACTCCCTGGTTGTGGTGGGCAGTGGAGCTCTGGCAAACTGTTTCCAGGAGAGCGTTGGAGCGAGTCAGGGTGTAGCTTGCCATGCGCTGTTTGTGTCTATGAGCGCACACAGCTTGGCATGGGTCACAGACGTGAACTCACATGCATGGGTGTCTCCTCAGCAGCCCTCTAGCTGAAAGAGACACCCACAAACAGGCAGAGGGGCTAGCGGTTTGGGGACCAGCTGCAAGAAAAACACCTTTAACAAGAAGAATGTTTGAATAACGTAAATTTATTCAGGTCTAGTTTTAACAAATTTTAATCTCAACCCATTAAAGAGGCCGCGGTCTTCAGTTCAATCTGAGTCTATTAGACATTTCCAATACAAATAAAGACTTTAACCACAAAGAGAAGACAACAAAAGAAAAAGAAGAGACTGCCCCAATTGGGACTCGATACACATCGGTATCCATATAGACCACAGCAATCATGAGTTAGAGCAAAGGTTACATAATTAACGATGCAGACCATCCAAGCTGATAAAATAATCTGTAATGAATATGCATTCCAGGCCACCATACATCTCAAGAGTCTCAAGGATAAGGTCAAAAGGCATTTTAAGTGAATTCCCTTCAGGGCCACAGCCTTTAAATGACCAATGCTTTGATTTGTTGTTTTTTTTATTTACTTATATTTATTTACTTTATATGTGGGTTGAGGGTGATTTATGGGGCATACAATCCCATGCAGTGCTCTGGTTTTTTTTTTTCTTTTACCTCTATGTAAATTCTATGCGTTTCAGTGCACTGTAATAAAATGATGTCTGCATGATTTTATCACAAAACGCACTATTGTAGTGCTTTGCTGTGAACAGGTCCATACAGAGCAAGGCTCTTTGCTGCGTGTGAACCAGCCATACAGAAAACCAGGGCGACAAGTTTCTCTACTTAGTCACACAGGTTTGGGTAGGCCTCTGTGGAGATTCTAGTTCTTTCAGTGATATACAACTTAACTGGTTTTTATTGTTCTACTCCTTTTCCTCATGTCAGTCACTCCCTCTATGGAGACACCTGTGCTGTAAGGGAGGAGCCCGGTGTGTGGTAAGACTCATGGTGCCAGCACTGTAACACAGTATCTGTCCCGAGTCCCCAGCCAAAGGCACAATGGCAGCCAGCATTGAGGTTCCTGCGTCCCGCACAGCAAGGCTACTGTCAGCCCTCTTCTATGGACTCACTTCCTTCCTCATTGTCCTGGTTAACAAGTCTGTGCTCACTGCCTACAGGTAGGAGGGGGAGGCTGGGTGTCTGTATGAAGGCTGCTAGTTGTCTGGATTAATAAGTAAAGGGAGCGTAGGAAATATGCAGACATGGCTGCAGTGCTACAGTTTGTTTTAAAAAAAAACAGGTTGTTGGAAAAATCTGATCTCCTGCACGAAAACTGGTTAAACTTGTCCGCATATCCCAGAGCACTCCCCCCAAATATATTGTCTGTGACTGTGTGTCGCTAACCATGTCAATGGGGCACAGCAATAGCACAGCGCAAAATAATGTTTGCATGTATATTTGTGTGCTTTGCTAAATGGCAAAGACGGTAATTCATCAACACTGGAGCAGAAGGCATTTGGAGCAGCTGTGCATTGCAACCAATCAGCTTTTCTCTTTCTTTTTCAACGTTAAATCTTAAAAATGTGTTCAAGTACCTTTTAACTATTAACAAAAATGTATCTTATTTGTGTATCACTCAGCTGTAGATCCTCAAATCATCTCTGAATTGGTGCTGACAATGTCCTACCTTCTGGAGGTTGGCTACTTTTGTTCCCCATTATCCCTGTGTGTGTTGTAAAGTAGTCACTGCTCCAAGCTCACTCTTTAAAATGCGTTGCTCAAGCTCTTAAAAATGCGTTCAAGTACCTTTTAACTATTAACAAAAATGTATCTTATTTGTGTATCACTCGGCTGTAGATCCTTAAATCATCTCTGAATTGGTGCCGACGCTGTCCTTCCTTCTGGAGGGTGGCTACTTTTGTTCCCCATGGTGCCTGTGTGTGTTGTAAAGTAGCCACCACTCCAAGCTTACTCCCATGATAGACCAAAACCCCAATACAAATTAGTAAACTAAACCTGAGATTGTAGTCCATCACAGGAGTTAGGTTGGAGCGGTGGGTACTTTACAACACATGGTCCCTGTGACCATGGGGAACAAAAGTAGCCACCCTCTGGAAGGAAGGACAGTGCCAGCAAAAATTCAGAGATGAAATTGAGGATCTACAGCTGAGTGATACACAAATAAATGTCAATGTAATTATTTTAGCAGCCTGCAAAGTGTTAAGTGGTGACAGGGTCACTTAAACATAGAACTTCAAGGAGACAGCAAAATATACAGGCAAAATACATATATGTTGACTGTTCCATGAGGGACACAAGTAGCCACCCTCCAGAAGGAAGGACCATGTCCCCGTGCCAATTCAGAGATGATTTGAGGATGCACAAGTAAAGTACAGTATTGTTAATAGTTAATGTACTTGAATCCATTGTTAAGATTTAACTTCTAAGTTTAGTGTCACTTTAACGGAACAAACTGAAGAGAGATAATTGGGTGCCATGGGCAACTGCTCCAGATTCTGTTTGCTTCAGTTTTGATCAATTCCCCCCATTATGTTTTAAAGGTTTTTAAATCTTCCCTCACTCTAGAACTTATCAAGACAGGAGCAGACAAAATCTGGAATAGTTACCCATAGTAACCAATCAGCTTCTCTCTTTATTTTGTACAGTTAAGTTTTGAAAATGAATAATAGAAGCTGACTGGTTCCCATGGGCAGCTGCTCCAAATTTTGTCTGCTTCTAGTTTGGTAAATTTCCCTTTTGTGCAGAATTCCCAACTTCCAGCTGGGGAGTGCACATACATGCTCTAGAAATGCTGGCAGCGGACTACATATCCCATGAGGCCTTGAGGTCGCCTTAAAAGTGTGCATGTCTGTGGTTTCATTACTTTTCTGTTGTGCTTTCCTCCCATGGGCTGTGCAAGGCTGAGAGATAGGTCAGCACTAGGGTTACCACCTGTCCCCGATTCACCTGGACAGTCCAGGTTTTGAGGCCAGCTGAAACCCAGACACAGTACATACAGGACTCAAAATCTGGGCTGTCCAGTTGAATCCGGGACAGGTGGCAACCCTAGTTGGCACGCTGCGGTGACTCAGTAGAGACACTGCTAATTATCACAGGACAGGAAGTGTTGTTAGGGAATATTAAAAGTGCTCCCAGCAATAGACACAAGTCAATTAAAGGAACATGCGGTAGTAATTGAAGGAGAATTATGAGGTGAGTGCTTTTCACTCAGCCTCATAATCTGAGCCGACCTGTGACAATGAGACTGTCACAGGTCGACTCAGTAGATCGGGAAGTGAGCGAACACAGCTCTGACTGGCGGAACAGACGGGGGAGGGGACGGGTACAGCTGGCTCTGCCTCTAGATAGGCTGAGCCAGCTGTCACTCACGCAGCTGGGCGGATCCAGACATAATTGTCGGGATCCGTTTCAGCTGCGGCGTCTCAGTATACCGCGAGCTACAGCTATATACTGAGCTTAGGGTGACGGGAGGACTCTAGTTTGTGTCCTCCCGTTACCCTAAGGAGAACTATGGGGAAAGGCCCTAACCCCATAGTTTTACTTAAGGCATAATGTAGTCCACTGGGTTTAATTACACTGTAAGGGGTGGTTGACACTAGCCCGTATGCTAAAGCATATTTTTTTTAACTTTATTGAAAGTGGACAAAGTGTACACTCAGTTCAGGTCTCCACACAGTAATGTGGGGTGCTGCAATGTGGTGACCTCGAGTGTGCTCCGGAAAAATTTAAAGGAGCCGGACGAAACATTTTAGGCTGAACAGTAACTGCAGCCGATCAGCTGCAGTCACTGCTTATGTATTCTGACAGTCGCCGGCTGTCACAGTACAACAGCAACTGCGGGAGAGTCATCCATTAACGCTGTTTTCGTTAGAAGTTTTTATTCTTACTAGTGTATGGCCAGCTTATAGGGCATATTTACATTATATAGCAGTAAATGTGACTTTCATCAATCATTCACAGGAGATAAATCAGTTACTGTCCTTTTAAAACGCATGCCCTTGGAAAATCCACCTGCAGGGAATGTTTAATGTCAAATTCACCGCTTTTCTAAATCCGCCCCCTTTATTTTGTTCATGAGGCTAGTTTGCACGTCCTGATATAAAAGTAGTGATCGAGTGTATGAAGGCCAGCGTTGCTCATCTGGCTTGTTTCAATAAATCAATAAGAACTGTTTGACTTTTCTGATTTTCCTGATTCTGAGTAGTATGTACAGGGGAGGAATACTGAGCAAGTGACAGTGGGCAGTATGTGCAGGAGAGAAGTGTGGAGGGTATGACGATGAGTAGTATGTACGGGAGAGGAATACTGAGCAAGTGACAGTGGGCAGTATGTGCAGGAGAGAAGTGTGGAGGGTATGACGATGAGTAGTATGTACAGGAGAGGAATACTGAGCAAGTGACAGTGGGCAGTATGTGCAGGAGAGAAGTGTGGAGGGTATGACGATGAGTAGTATGTACAGGAGAGGAAAACTGAGCAAGTGACAATGGGCAGTATGTGCAAGACAGAAGTGTGGAGGATATGACGATGAGTAGTACTTTGTGCAAGCTGTGTGAATAGCGGAGAGACTGTGCTACTTTGTGCAAGCTGTCTGAATAACACTGGGCTGACATTCAGGGAACATACAGAAAGTAGCACATCAGTGTTAAACCTTACAATTATCTGCAGATTTTCTGTGGTCAGATGGAAAAGGTGCAACAGATCCCTCCACCTACACTATGTGGATGGAGTAATCTCCACGGAGGAATGGCAAGTAGCGGCTCGGAGTGCGATGGGTACACGGACTGTATCCTGATGTGAAGGAGGTCTCCTGATTTGAAGGGGGAATCTTACAATCTCAACCAGACCCCTATCTGGGGTATGGGTCTGGTATGGATTTTTGAGGAGCCACACTTCACTTTTCACATTTACGTTTTTTTCATTTTAGACTGTGGTGCCTTGAGATTTTGCATGCTGTTATAGGGTGCCATGACTGAAAAAAAGGTTGAGAAACACTGCAATAAATCACAGTGTCTGTTTTACTTACAGTATATGTATATGGATTTATGGTAGAGCAAGGCTTTAAAAAGGCTAGAGGGCACCAAATCAGGCGCTCCTGAACTGGAAGGGATGGGACAAAGAAGTTGTAGTTGGGAATCCCTAGACACACATTTGTAATGCTTTTACTGTTGATGTGTGTGTAACTAGTAGGAGGAATAGGATACCAGCTGTTCACGTCATAAAGGTGTAATTGTTAACAAAAAGAAATGGTATGGACAACAAATAAAGCATTACAAGGCTATTTAAAGAGTGACATAAAGATTATGAGTTATGAAAGTAAGATGTGACAAAACTATAAAAAGTGTGGGGTGCAGATAAGGTATGGAAAGAGTGGCAATAATGAAAAAAAAGAAACAAAAAGGGAAAGAATGAAAGAGAGAATCAGCAGAAAATGTAGGTGGATTCTGTTGAGTGATACTGAGTACATATTGTATATGTATTTCTATATAAAAGGTGAATACTGTGTGAGTGTAGTTAATGAAATAATCAAATGTAAAATGTGGAGTTTGTAGTATAACCGTGATTATTGATGCATAGCAGGAATTATTGAACTGTGTAATAAGAAGAAAAAAAGTCATAAGAGGAGATATTGTGGTTTTAACCAGGTGACATCAGATGAATATGTAAATGGAATAGTTGAACAAATGGATTTAGTATCCATTGTGTGTGGGGATAGAAATAATCCTTTATATTTATTTAGAACATTTTCTGTTGTTTCATTTGGTCCGTCTAATGTTCGACAGGTGCTCCAGAAGGATTCTGTTTGTATCTTGTATCTGTCAAGTTCCATTTGGAAGTATCAACCGACACAATGCCATCTGCGATCTTCATAAGATATCATCTGAACCCAACTGGGCAAAACTGTTCAGGGCTCCATTTACATGGCACATCGGGTGAAATTGTAAGATAGCTGATGGGTATTGAATAAGGGCAGTACCCAAGAGATGGACAGTAGGCTCCTCCACTATTGTGATACTTTTAATGCACTGTGTTTTGTGGTTTATGTATGACCCCTGGTCACAACCAGGGCCGGATTTACTCCACCTGCCGCCCCAAGGCCAGGTTCCACAATACGCCCCCCCCACAGGCATCAGTTGTTACAATTATGTGTTTATGACTGTCTGTATTGTAAATCTCAATAAAAACCATTTGAGAAGTTCCATTTGGAATGTGTTCAAATATGGTTGCTAACAGCAAATGTATAGTCTCTCTGATGGAAGATGTCAGAATGCCTTGGGATGCTGTGTTCTTTAAGTCCAGATTTTATCTTAAGGTGCCCATACACCTTACGATTATCGGACGAAACCCATCCTGCCCCGATTATCGCAAGGTTCAATTAGCGGTAGTTTAAAAAAAAAAACACCTGGACGACTTGCGGTAATTGACCGCAATTATTTTCATATGCGCAGTGTTAATCGTACGACTTTTGACGGACGGAAACGAAACCAACCATGGAAACATCGTACGATCGACCAAAGTTTTCAAACATACTTGACCGTCAAAAGTCGTACGATTGTACAGTACTATCGGTCGGGCACTCTATTCACACGTTACGATTGTCGTACGAAAAGTCGATCGCATACGATTATCGTACGATAATCGTAAGGTGTATGGGCACCTTTAGACCTCACCATTTGGTGAAACCCACATGGGCAGGTTAATAGGTAAATCATTTATTGGGAAGCATCATTTACAAAGATTTTTAATGTCCAGCTGGTACCATTACTTTGTAAAGTCACCATGTAGGTCTTGTTACTAATATCGCAGCTGGGGCATTTTGAGCTATGACACCTGTAACATTCTGTATCTAACGAAAGAAGAGATTTGTGGCTTTGGTTCCTGTTTGAACCTAGCGAATGTGGCCATGTGTCAGTGTATTTTTACAAATCATATTTGGGATTTTTGTTGATTTTCAGTGATGAGAGTCACCAGGACAAATGGAGAGGATAAATTTCCCTATCGGAAACACGGGCCGCTATAAAAACCCGACATTTGTTTTAATCCCTCTCCACTGTATCCAAAACTTTAAGGAAGAACTCCGGACACATCAAAACTTAACCCTTGCAGTGTGATTACTCCTGCACTGCAAGGGTTAAGGGCTTGGTTTGTCTAGGGAGCTAAAATAACAAAGTTCTACTCACACAAACCGTGATCCTCCTCCACTCCAGGGATGGTATGTTCCCTGGCATCCTCACGTCCAATAGATTGTATTGGATGTGATGGCTCACAGGACCTTACACCGCTGGAGCGGAGGGGAGAGAGGCTGCAGGGAGCGGTCTACGAGCAAGCCGGGATCACATTTTGGTGAGTATAAATTATTTAAGTTATTTTAGCTCCCTAGACAAAACAAGCACTTAACCCTTGCAGTTCAGGGGTAACCACACTGCAACAATTAAGATTTGATTTGCCCGGAGATCTGCTTTAAGCATACCTCCCAACTGTCCCTTATTTTGAGGGACTGTGCCTCTTTTGGAACCACATCCCTGTGCTCTTCTTTCCTCCTTAGTTGTCCCTCTTTTTGGTCTGATATACAGCTATCCATGAATAGGTTCTATTTATCCTCTGAAAATGTTCTTCCAGACTAAATCCTTTATCTCACCTCTTTATTGGTTACTATGGGCAACTGCTCCAGTTTCTGTCTGCTTAAAATTTGATAAATTCCCCCCAGTATATCTACTAGTACTATGGGACACATTCAGGGGTATTAATCAAAACTGAACAGTTGCCCATAGTAATTAATCAGCTTCACTTTATAGATTACGTTAAGCTTTATAAATGACAGACCCTAATTGGTTGTCATGGACCACTGCTTTTGCCTGCTCCAATTATGATACATTCCCCTGATTATGTCTACTGAGAGCCACACCTACTTAATGAAAAAAAAAAAGAACATGATACTTTGAATCTCAACATTGTAGTAACAATTGCAATTTACCATATTTATTCCCAGAGAAAGGGTTCAGAAAGCATTTTTTATGAAGTATGTAGCTACAAAATTATATAAGAAAGTATAATTTATCAACTGGAAAACAACTGGTATTGCATTCGTTTTTGAGTCCTTAAACCATAGAGGGTCACAAAGAAGGAGCGAAGGGGGCATTTGGCCCCCAAAAAATAGCATGACATGCCTGCAGTGGGGTCGTTTCTCAACCTGCAGAATCACCAGTTTAGCTAAGCCTTACGTGGTTCCATGTACTTATTTTCTATTTTCTTTTTGAAGGTTTCCAGCTTCCACATTTCTTGCAGTTGGGCAGGTATGTCATGATTGCTATAACTATGTTTTTCTTTCAGAAATATTTAGAACACCAAAGATGTAATTATCACTTTGCAAAACATGATGAATAGCCATATGGCACTACACAACTTTCAGTGCCAGGACCTACTCCGTAAGACCTCATTCACATCTAGGCAGTGTGTAGGCGCTACAACTCTCCACAAGAGGTATTTTATTGTTTGAAATGCATCAAAAGGAAAAAATTGTCTAAATTGTTGGCTATGCTCATGCTTTGGTGTGAATGCAGCCTAAATGGAGTCACCCGCCTGTAGCTGTACCCTGCCATGACTGAAGTACAGACCCATTTAAATACATTGCTCTACCATCTCACCCCAACATATCTGAACTCCAACGGTCTCCCACCACTGATAACAGCTCATGGTAGCATGGCTGCTCTACTCTAGACATCCTGGTCTGTGCCATTGTGTAGTGGGTACATTTCTCAATGTGAAAGTTGAGTGAGGAGTTTACCAAATAGTGAAGACTGTATAGAACAAGGTCTGCTTATAAAATCTAAAGAAAAAAAAGAGTACAAATAAAAAGTTGATAGCCATATAGACCAACTGGGTTTTAGAGTTTATCCAATAGGAAAATGAAAAAAAAATCCAATTGGTCTCTATGAGCTACAATTCAACCTTAGTTCCTGTTTGCTTTTGCTCAGTTTTTTTAAATAACTAGGCTCCGATTGGAAATGCTAATTGCCTAGTCATCATGTTACTTTAATGACTTTAGTATGCAGATAAGGAGTAACAACCTCACTTTGATTCAGGTTGCTTCTTACTTGTTAAAGATCAGTAATTTAGAAGCAACTGAGGGGAACCAAAGTTAAGTGACCCTGTTACTTTGGCAAAGCACAGGTTCACTTTAAAGTGAGCCTGTGCTAATAGAAATATGAGAACTGTCATTATAGACCTCCCTTAAAATTACTAGTACTCTTCAGCATAACATCAACAAAATCTTGATATCACAGCTCGGCACTGATTCTTCTCTATTTATACGGTCAAAAAAAAATAAAATATGCATGCTGATCTCTGCACGGAAGTGAACGATATACGGCTGTGCACATCCATGTGAATGACCCATAGGGGGTGATTTACTAACCTAAACACACACACACACACCAGGTGTGTGTGATTTTCACACAGCAAAACGTATTTATCAACCAAAAAGTCTCTAAAAGCATATTTCCACTAATGCCATATATGGAAAAATCATGCACATGATGCATATATAATGCTGCTTCACAGTTTAGACAAAAATGGTTAGCTCATGCATTTACATTCCTGCATTCATCAACGCAAGCAACACAACATAGAGCTAATTTACCCAACATCACCTTGGAATTCCTTCAGGGCTTTGCACAACACACCTGCTGGGTGTGTACACATTACAAAGGTGTTTAGATTCCTCCCATAGATCATGCTGGGAGGGAACACACTGCAGAGGTGTATACACGTTCGTGGTGTGTTTATAAGGTTAGTAAATCAACCCCATACACTCACAATTGGTAAATCTCTGTATACAGCCTTTCACAGTTGTTTTTACTCTTCTTTGTAAATATACCACTGTGTGATACATAATGTGTTTGTTTGTTTCTATTTTACCAGATGGGATTTACAATTGTTATACTGTACACAGGAAAAACAATGGGATTCATTACTTTCCCAGATTTTGACAGACAGATCCCAAGAAAGGTAAGTCTTGCAGGAGAACAAAAACTAGGCGTATAAAAAAAAAAAAAGAACTGCAAGCAGTGATAAAATGTAGAATTCAGAAATCCCTAACATGTAATCAGATTTTACATTACTGTAGTCAGATCATTAAAGGATGTATTTACTGAGGTCGGTCTTGGTTATAGTACTTTGAACATTGCCCTTTGCTTTATAGCATAAGCTATTTTGAGCATTGACAAGATTTTTTTTTTTTGCTGTAATGCTAGGTTACTGGAGCCTCTTTGTGATGGCAAGATATAACACAGTCTTATTGATTCACTAAACAATAATGTGTGTAGTATGTTCATCATTGTACATCTTTTGTACATTTTTTATTAGAAATTATATTTTTCAATTCAAAAATCCTTTATTTCAGGTTTGCTTTATTCATTGTATGTATTATTATAATATACAGTATATAGTTTGCTGTAAGTTTCCTTTTGTTATTCCAACTTCAAGATAGCTCTTTTCTGACATCTGACTCTAAGGCTGGGTTCACACCTTGGCGTATTGAATATGCGCGCCTGTCGCGCGGTTTTTTTACCGCGATTCGCGGTAAAAAAGTCGCACGACCCCGAAGGCTAATTGGCTGTATCCCAATGGAAAACGCCCTACAAAACGGCCCAAAGTAGTCCCGGGAACTTTTCAGGCGTGGGCCGTTTTGTAGGGCGTTAGGGACGGGCGGAAATACGCCAAGGTGGGAACGAGACCATTGACTACAATGCAATGTATATTTTTGACCGTTTTGTAGAGCGTTCGTCGAGCGTAGAACGCGCTACAAAAAGGTCAGGTGTGAACGAGGGCTTAGTTTCAGGTAAAGAGTATCTGTGAAGCAGAGAAAAGGTAGCCATTCGAGGTTGCTATCTAAAAAGCTAAAATAACATTTATTTGAAAAAAAATTTTTTTATGAGAAGTAAATCTTGGCAATAATACATAAAGTAGCTAAAATATTTTTCTTGTTTTAGGTGAAGTGGGAACGGTGCTTTGAAAGGTGCCTATCCCACCTCAACCTAACCACTGAACCATCACGTTCTCAAATAATTCCCCACACAGCTACCTCCTCATGTATCACTTCCCCCTCCCTTTTAGATTGTAAGCCCTTACGGGCAGGGCCCTCCTTACCATCTTGTCTTGAATTGTGTTGTGATTATAATGTCTTCCTTGTATTGTAAAGCGCTGCACAAACTGTTGGTGCTATATAAATCCTGTGGTATAATATTGATAACAATTTATATGTTGGTAATAGCTCCTTTTAAAGTAGTGGATTCAATTAGTGAACAGGACTACTTGTACACAGGGCAACTTGGTGTCCTTTTGGGAGTTTTGTTTGAATTTAACATACAGAAAGCATTGCCTGACAGTAATTGTACCTGTACTCATTGTTCACGTGACCTGTATGGCCTTACATATTGTCTTTAGGACAGTCTGCTCTGTGTTGGAAAAAGCTGCAAGCCCTGTATCTGCAAGTATCTGCAAATTTCTTAGTGTTTATCTGACATTCATACATAGGCTTCCATATAAAACTTTCAACGGCAAAAGTGACACTAAACTCAGGAGTTAAATCCTAAAAATGCATTCAAGTACCTTCACTATTAACAAAAATGTATCTTATTTGTGTATCATTCAGCTAGGGCTGCAACAACTAATCGACATAATCGATTATAATCGATTATTGAAAACGTTTTCAACTTTTTCAATAATTGATTAATCGGCTTCTGATCAGTTGGCCCTGTTCACGGCTCCACACACGCTGCGCGCCGCACCTCCTCCCCACCTCATGCTCGCCGCTGCCAG